ATCAATTGAATCTCCATACAACTCCCATATTATTAAGCTGACAACTCTTTTGTCTTCACACATCTTATGTGTTAGCTTAACATGTCTCTAAAACTTATCTCCTTGAGTGTACTCAACAAAAGATAAATTTTAGTTAAGTCAAACCCATCATTCAGAAATATCAATTATTTCATAGTGTCAAACATATCTCTAATAGACCAGTCTTGAGTATACTCAACAAGTTAAGGTCGATTTAGGATTCTCATTTTTCACTATAATGATGGAAGGCAAATAATACTAACTTAATATTTTAACGAGGGATTTAACGTGCAATGGTTTCATCAAATAATTATATTTATATATTTAAACATACATCTACTATGTGAATACATATATATAAGTAATAGTATGGATGATTATGGACTTGTTCTATCTAGTTTTCCCGAGCTAAAGGGAAAACTAGTTGGTCAATTCCTAAGGGGTACAACATTGGATCAACATCAATGCACCATCTCCATGGTATCCACCTCTTCTTGCTCCTTCAATTGGCAAACTGCAACATGTATCCTATACTAGTTGGCACGCATGCCTAAAAGAAAACGGACTCGCAGGTCCAATATAATAAAGAGGTCGCAGGCCCAAAACAATAATAATAACAACGGACTCGCAAGTCCAAAACAATTAAGGGCTCGCAGGCCCATAAAAACAAAAAGAAGTAAATCAACCATTCAACACATCCATATGGTCGAATCCATAATCATCCATAAATATTCATCACATAAATGTTTTCTATATATAATATCTAATATTATATGCAATGTCTCATAAATCTAGCAATTATAGTCATCAAAACTAATTCAAAATTTTGGATTGAAATAATTAAATAATTAATTAATCATATTAATTAATTAACTTAATTGGCAGGCCTATTAAATTAAAATCAAATTTTAACTAAATCCCGAATTAAAGTCCAACTCTAATTCCATAACTATTGGGCGAAGTAATTTAATCAAAATCGAATTTTAATTAATTATTAAATTCGACTCATACTCTAAATTTTAATTTGCATTGGGAAGTGGTATTAATTGAAATCAAATTTTAATTAATATAATATTAGAGTCTAACTCTAATAAAATTGAATTAAAATTTTTAATTTAGGACAAAATTTTCAAATAAAATAAAATTCAATTAAGCGTCAAAATTAAATATTTAAGTTAAAACCTAATTTTAACAAAAATATAAAAGTCGTCAAATTTTAAAAAAATTTTAATTTTGGGTCAAAATTAGGGTATGGGTCAAACCCAATTAAAACATCATTTTAAAACCAATTCAAAATTCAATTCAAAACCATTTTGACAATTTACAAATTTGACCCAAGTTGAAAATTAACACCAGACCCTTCCAAATTAAAAAATTGCAGAACAGATCCCCCTTTTAAAATTTGCAAATTGACCCCATTTTCGTAGGCGTCGCCCTACTGCAGCGCCAACAACCAGCAGTGCGAAGGCGCTGCTGGCTTCGCGCTGCAGCAGCGGCGCGGTGGCACGCTGCCTTCCGCCGCCTCGATCCAAAAAAAGAAAAGAAAAATTCAAAATCAGATTCTGAAAAATAAAATTAAAAACTATATTTACTAGATTTAGGGATGAACATGAATAAATCAACATTTAATTTAATCAACATGTAAATCAGTTCCTAACAAATACAAAATTGGCTCTGATACCACTGTTGGGAATTTACTTAAACATGCACGGCGGAATTAAACAATTTTAATTCCCATTCAAGATTCAACTTTGTATTTAGATAAGAGCTGTGATAAGAAATATACATTTTTCTTGATTTTGCAAACTCTTTCACGTTATTCATTTTCAGCAACTTGAATCTGCCTCCCACAGCGGTCCAATTGTCCAGCCTCCAATGAAATCTACACAGAGAATAGACTGCAACTGCTAGGGTTTTTCCTCTTGTGCCAGCAAGAATAATGAAAACCTTATGGACGTCAAATTCTAGTCATGTATTTATATAAACCCAAATGAGTTTGGCCAGGTCCAGTCCAATGTTTAATTAATCCATTTAATTAAACCCGGTCTGTGAATTAATTAATCCAATTAATTAATTCGGGAATATAAATAATAAATCCAATTAATTAATTTATCCAACGATTGTTAAATTAATCAATTGGCAATTTGCAATCTTCCAATTCTCTTTTGTGTGCGACCCATTAGGTTCCCGACCACGATGCCTAACGACGTGAAATATTATTTTGATCTAATCAAAACTGATAAATTAAATACCCTTTTAATTTATCACAAATTCACACTTACCGTCCCAGATTGACATCTAGCAATGTATCAGAGCAACACATATGACGAGAAATATCACGTGGTATGACAAAACCAAAACTGTTCGTTTACCATAAAATTATAATCCCTTCGTCAATATAATCTAATCAACTACGAGATATGGAAGTGTGTCAATCTCGATTATCGATCATATCTTTCATTCTACTATTAAGTCAATATGAGTCGAAAACTCCTTTTCGACTTATATGTATACCTTGGCCAATGATTTCGTTATTGACTTAATTGAACGAAATGCAGATCCCAATCTCTTACTATCTAAGAGTGACGAATCCTCTATTGGTCATTCACAACTTTCATATGGTTCTTGATATACCCGAACGATGTTGTATTAGTGGCCCTTGGCAGAGCAACATCCAACACCGTCAAAGCATGACTGTCCTCATACAAGGCACTATGATGACCTCAACTTATAGGACCAATTTCACTACCGAACGTTAGAGATTAACCACTGACACTCAGATAGTTATCCATGTGGAATCTCTTAGCAGGTCTCCAATGTTTTGTTCTATAACAAAACATCCACGTGTTCATTTAAGTGTCACCACACTTTAGCTCGTGAGATCAGCTACTTACTTCACAAGTAAGAAATGTCACACATGATGGTCTAACTGTATTAACGATATCCGTATCTCGTTATTACTTATGACCACGGTTTATTCAAGATCCAATCATACGTAATTTGTATCTCACAATCACAACTCCTTATGATTAACAAATCACTTAAACTTGGATCTTCGGATTCTATTATTTAATATTATTTATTACAAAATTAATTTAAATAAATATTAGATCTTGCCAAAATTAAATGCATTAAACTTATTAAAAGTGTTTACAACTTAAATCGATTGGATCTAGGGCATAACACTTACACCTTACTCAATAATTAAATATAATTCTCAACAAATTTTAGATCGAACTGACAAAAAGGTGGTATTGAGATTGGTCTCAAAACGAGCAGGAGGCAAAGATCGAACTGAAAATAAGTAGCCCATTTAAAGCAGATTCCCATTCATGGATTGGTTTGTCAATTATGACGGGTCCTATAATATTCACATGCAAGCCATATATGCAATTAAATATGAATCATATTAATCGAACACATCTCACTGAGACCCTTTAGTAATATTCACATTACAAGATTTTATGAAGAACTTGCAACTCAACGTCTCGGCTTGTGAACTAAAAGAGGCAGCCAACTGACTATGACTCTTTTGATCTTTAATAGTATCCATAATATTATTTAGGGTTTGTTTTGATGTCACCATTTACTCGTTTAATTGGAAACGGAATCGAATGATAGATGATAGTGAACCGACGTAGACCGTCGCTCTTGGCCATGGCCATCGTCAATCATTCACTGGCAACAATAGTTGGTGATGATGCATCCTGATTTATGTATATGCTTATTAGAGTGAAGATAAAAATAAAATAAAATAAAAATTTAAAAATTTTAAAAAATCTACTAATAAAACTATTGTGTGAGGTAAACTCAACAAATCGAATTTAATTCCTGGTTCTCAATATAAACTCATCCATCAATTATTTGATGTGTTAATTAATCCGTTTAATTAATAAATTAATTTTTGTAAAAAAAAAATTTAGTGTACACCAAACAAAATACTTCAATAAAAGAATTTAACACAAACTGTAAATAATACTGAAAACGATATACAATCAATCCTGATATCTAGTTATTATTTCTACTTAATATAGCAATAGATTTCCCATTCATGGATTGGTTTGGTTCAGTTTGGGTAGGGTTCAGTTTGATCGGTTTGATTTGGTTTGAAAGTTTTGTCCAACCTTAATTCTCGAATCGAATTTAATTACAAGCAATTTGTATTATTTTACAATTGTTTTATTAAAATCTTCACAGCTAAAGAAGAAATGGAAAAGGTTCACCCAATTACTATATTAAGAAGGATAAAACTATAGGGGAAATATGCAAAAAGCCTTGAATAGAAGGAAAAATTTGATCTTGGTAGTGAGTTGTACCTTACTCAAATAATTAAATATAATTCTCAACAAATTTTAGATCGAACTGACAAAAAAGGTGGTATTGAGATTGGTATCAAAACGAGAAGGTGGCCCATCTTGTTAAAAGATCGAACTGGAAAAAAAGGAGCCCGAGTCGAGTCCACTTAAAGCAGATTCCCATTCATGGATTGGTTTGTCTATTATGACGGATCCTTCTTGGTTGAACTACTTAGCCCAACGACTCAGGGGTACTGGCTCAATTTATTGAACAAATCATGTCAGTACAATCACTATTTGTCAAGTGTTTTTTCAAGTGTGACATGCAAAAAGTGTCATTGAGAATTAAATTATATCTATATATATTTTAATTATCAAGAAAATAAAAGGATAACAAATCCATTTAGAGATCGGACACGTTCTAGGTACATCTATTTTAGTATGAAAATGACGAGTTAGTCCTAACCTGTCCGCTAGCCACAATATTGGACTAAGCCCGAACCATGTTTTCTAATCGGCTAGTTGAGACCCCTACTATTGGCCTGAATGGGCATGGATCGATCTGAGCTAGTCCACACAATTTGAAACCCTCTAGAAAATTAAGGTAATTAACAAAAAGATTAAGTTACAATATAGTTACAATTTGCGTTAGCTTTATTTTCTTTGAAACAAATTTTACTAGTAGAGTAGAGGAAAAATATTTTAAAAGTTTTGGCGGGTACATTTCAGGTCTCAACGCCCCTGATTTACATCGGCTCAATGAAGTTACAAATCCACAAACGAGAAACCCAACAGTAGAAATATAGTTGGAGAAATTACATGCAAAGATTAACAATTGCTGAGCTGCATAGGTATTCTCAACATAAAATCAAAATCTTAGGTGACATGTTAGACACCAGGACACGAGAGTAAACATCAAAGAGATGTGTATAAGAATTCATCCAGAGCTACAGGTTGGGGGACTCGTTTGAAGAACGTGATATAATATGTGTATAGAGGAACTCGTTCCATGTATCTGGCAAGCCCGGTAGGCACCAATGGATACAATCTGCAAACGTGGCAGGATCAGCTTGCTGCTCGGGCGTCAGCATCTTGCCTTGGCGAATGGTGTGAACTGAGGTGTGTGCATCTTTTCGATACTCGGAAAGGGTGGTTACATTGACAAAATAGACATGCACCTTCATTGATTCAGTGATATTTACTGCAACTCTGAATAGCCTGCGGTCTGTGCCCACATTCAGTGGCATTGAGGTGTTGAGTATTGGGGTTGTTTCTAAGGCACATTTTATGCCATCCGGATTTTCCCAGTCCAAACTCCTGTATTATGTGTACAAGGAAATGAAATCCAAATTATATAAAAAGGTTGTTGAACTAATCTAACAAAACTGATTAAAAAATATATGGAATCATTCAAGAATTTGTTTAATTAGACTCATATTATTGTTGAATTATGGGTGGTTTACCTAATAAAACTTAAAATAACTTATAATGGGCTTCTGAAGATGCTTTCTGATTAATTTTTTTTTAAAACTATTAGTAGTCCAAGCAACAAATGTCAATTCATTTAGCCCCGTTTGACCCCCTTTTTCCTTCAATTTTTTCATCTTACTCTTATTTTCAATCACACAATCTTTCATAAAATAATATTACATAAAAATTGAAAAATTTTCCTACCTTTTCATCCACACATTCTCCACAAAAAAAAAAAAAAAAAAAAAAAATATTTCATACATTAAAAATTGAAAGAAAGGGGGCCAAATGGATGTTTAGTCTCCTATTTGTCTACTATTTTCAGTACTCATTTTTAACCACACTCTGACAAAATCATATTTTGCATATAAACTAAAAAACTTTTTCCTACTTTTCAGTTTTTAATCACACATCCTCCAAAAATTCACTATTCCAATACTCATTTTCACTAAATGATGATAGACGAACATCGGCTTAGTATTAGACTAGACAAGAGTGGACAATGGTAATGATTTTAGCTTTCCTACAGAGTATGACACATGGTATAAATATATGCAATTGTGCGTCTGCGAAAGGAAAGAATATCGATAGAATGTAAATGGGGAGAATGCAAAGAAAACAGATGTTAAAAGTTAGCTTCTAAGCAAAGAAAAAAGATGGGACCTTAGGCCTTACTTGATGTGAAGAGGAGACATGCTCATGAAAAAAACTTGCGTTCGATTAGGATTTATATTTTTGTCTACCCACTTAGCCCAGGTCCTCAAAACTCTTTCATATGCCACAGGCCTTGCAATTTCATCATACTCCGTCGACCCCTTATCGAAGGATCCTCGCCTGTTTTGTTGATTGAATATGGCAAATTATAAGTTTATCTGTGTGCACAGATTGATCATGACTGAAAAAACCATTCTATATACTTACAGAACTTTCATTGAGAAAGTGTTCATCCACCATATATAAGTATTGAAAATGAGAAAGTCAACATTCTTCCAATTCTTGCCATGCTTTTTGATTGATTCAGGCATGATGATCCGGTTCAAAATGCTGTGCATATTAGGATCATCTGAATTTGATTCCACCAAAAATGGAGCCCAGTAAAACTCTACTGTAGCATTATAATCCTGCAAGAAAGTGAAATATTAATCTTGAAAATATGGACACAATTAGGTGAAGGTGGTTGATACTTATACAAGTAACACACTCTATTTCAACTACTTTCTGTTCATTCCTAAAAGTGGCACAAACCTTACCATGTGTAACAATTATGATTCAATTTGTAAAGTAACGTCACTAGTCGAAAAACATAATCATGAATTAAACATCCTTTTTAATTAAATTGAATGAATCAAATAAATCGAGTTGTAAATGTTCACAATGATTATGGTTACGGAATATATGTTTACAATAACCAGAGCAAATACCTCGATTCGGAAAACAGATAAAGAGCCAGACTTGTTCAAGCTCTTTCTTTCGGGAGGAACGACGGATTGGACGAAACAAACCATTGATTCCCATTGGTTTCGATTCAAGGAATCCCCAACAAACATCAGCCTCTTGTTCCTCAGTTTCTCAAGCAACAATCTTGGTCTAAATCTTGATCACAAAAGTATGAACAATTAGTACAACAATATATACTTCATTAATAAAAAACTATGAAAGATTTTCTAAATACAAGAATTGATGCTTACTTGGGCAAAGAACAATCTCTGGGCTGCCACCTCCAGTTCTGATACAAAGAATCCTTCCTTCCATTTCTCATGCAAGTCACCTGGGCTGTGAGAAACTCACATTCATCTTCTTTATACAGTGGGTGAGTAATGTTATCGAAAACCCAGTGCCCTGTAAACAGATCACAGTCTTCAGGAGGTAATTCAATTTCCTCCTCCTCCTCCTCCTCCTCCTCATCGACCTCGTCGTCATCTTCAACGGGTAATTCAATTTTCTTTTCTCCTTCCTCTTTTTCTTTCCCATCTTTCAAGGTCACAGATTCTTGTTTCTGATCATGATCAGAATCGGAAGTTTCTATCTCCGTCTCCACTACAGTTCTTGCATTTAAAACAACTGAAACAGTGGTCTGATCGCCAACATTCTTGTCACTTTCTTGAATTATACCATTAGTATTCTTGGATGGCTCTTCTTGAATTTCTTGACCAGACTTAGGCCTGGAAAATGGGAACTCGGCAATGGATTTCACGTCCTCATTGTACATGAAACAACCGAACAAAAAAATGGAAACCGCCACGGCTAAAATAGAGAGATTACTGCCCTTTCGGCTGGCCGGCTTCATTATGAATGATTCGGTGGAGAAAATTGGTGTGAATTTCCGGCGGTGTGAAGGCTGCATGACAAGAAGAATGGTGAGAGGGAAATTTATGACACAGAATATACAGAAGAATGAGAATATAAGAGAGGGATACTAGCATGTTGCTGTTGTGGGTTGATTTATTTATTTATTTATTTTTAATTTGTTTGATGGAAAAATTTGGTGAAATGGGGTTTTCTTGAAGAAACTGATTTGGTTATTGGTGGCCGGAGGATTGTCATTCTCAGTAGCTTACTTCTTCTAATCCATTTCTAACTGCTACTGCTACTTTCTTTTTACTCTGGTACGGAGAGAGAGAGAGAGAGAGAGAGAGAGAGAGAGATGAAATCTTACTTTAAGCAACAGTGACATTTTTATCGGTGTGGATAAATTCCGTCTACGGTAACTGAATTTTTAAGTGAAATCTCAAATAGGTCCTCTTAATTAGATTACTCAACTTTGGCTTATTTTTAGACTCCTAACCTTATTACTGAACTTCACATTACAATACTTGTGAACTTGACCACAATGTATGTCATGTCTTACTTATTTAGATAAATATATCATATAATCATGTCGTTATTGTAAAATCTCAAAGTAAATCATGTTAAAAAATCGATTGTAATTAATTCAATGGAGCAACTTGAAGCTATATTTATCCCTAATTTCGTGATTTTGGAGTTAGACAAGCTTTTGTGGCATATTTACCTAGAAAAGCAGGATAATGGAGGATTGGAGTGTTGAGGTTAGTACGAGACTAATGAAGTGACTAATGTAGAACGTAAATTGAAGTTCAATGATTTGATTACGACAAATTAAAATTTAAGTCCCTGTTTGTTTTCCATTCTTTCCCCATTAAAATGAAAAATATGACCGTTATTCATCATATTAAGCCACCAAATTTGAATTTCTATCTCTTGTATGGGTGTATAATGACTATATTTTTCATTCTCATTCTTATCAAAATGGGAACAAACAGGGGCTAAATGACCTAATTGAGATTTCAAAGAAAGTCTAGTGATAAAAAAGTAAACTAACTAGTACATGATTGGAGCCATAGCCATTATGCCTTGGAAGAAAATTCAACAAGTTTAGAACTTAGCATCTTTATCATTAGATTTTTGGGTTAAATCCACCAATGGTCATCCAATTCTACACTTAGTATCATCATGGTCACTCAATTTGGTTTTATTTCACCATGTCCACTCAACTTTATACTTAGTATCTCCATGGCCACTTAATTTGATTTTATTTCACCATACTACCCAATTTTGTATAACGTTTCATAATGATAATTCAATTTCATATAACGTTTCACTATGATTGTACAACTTCGTTTCAGCCTTTTCATAAATTTTAAAAGGGATAAAATGATAACGTTGTATTATATATAAAAACTAAATTAAAAAACTTATTTCCAAAAAAGTTACTTAAAAAATAAAAATAAAAATAAAAATAAAAATAAAAATAAAATTATTTTAAAAAAATGTTACTTAGAAAAAAATAAAATAAAAAGTTATTTTAAAAAAAGTTCCTTAAAAATAAAATAAAAACTTATTAAGAAAAACATTTTTAAAATAAAATAAAAACTTATTTTAAAAAAAAAAGTCACTTAGAAAAATAAATAAAAATAAAATTTCATTTAAAAAAAAAAGCTGTTAGGGACTAGATAAGTAGTTCAAAACAAATGTTGTTCCATATACAAAGAGAGTGAAAGCCACTTGTAGCCATACGTATATGAGTGTGTATTATCTTTTAGATCTAGTTTAATCTCAATGCATAAAGTTGTATAGTCCCCTTAGATCTTCATAGAGGATGCTCAAGATCAAGTGACTGAAAACACAACAACGTGGGATATAGAAAAGGAAAAGTTCTAGATTTTGCCATTGATAATCATCCTTAGCAATATGATAGATTTGACGATAATATCGAGATGTGACGTTTGGTGGTGAATGGAAGGAAATTTTCAAATAGTTGTATTTTTTATTATTATTATTTGAAAGATTATTGTTTGTAATGCGTCATAAGCAGTGTATGGGACCGAAGGAGCCAAATATAATAGTTGACTTAAATTGAACGCAGGAGCGGTTGGATTTCAAGGATGGATTTTAGGATAACACTTGTAATTGATCAGAATTTGAAGTCAGTTGAATCGGCGATAGTAAATTTTACCTATTCGAAAGTCAATATTAAACAAATTTTTATCAAATATATATATATAGAGTAATAATCTCTTAAACACCGATATTTAGCTTGGAAGGAGCCAAATATAATAGTTGACTTAAATTGAACGCAGGAGCGGTTGGATTTCAAGGATGGATTTTAGGATAACACTTGTAATTGATCAGAATTTGAAGTCAGTTGAATCGGCGATAGTAAATTTTGCCTATTCGAAAGTCAATATTAAACAAATTTTTATCAAATATATATATATAGAGTAATAATCTCTTAAACACCGATATTTAGCTTATGTTAATTCACCAATTAAATGGTGTGTCATATTACTGATACTTAATATAAGTTAAGTACCGGTGTTTAGGAGATCGTTTTCATATATATATATATATATATATATATATATATGTTATAGATGTTAATATAAAGTTATGGGAATCAATTGATCCCACAATACTATCAATGAGTATTGATACCCAATATTTTAAAATTAAGAAGATTCGCAATCTAAAATAAAATAAAACTTTGTTTCAAAATTAAAATTTCTAGAAAGGATATTCAACTTTAAGATTCTAGATTGAAATATCAATTATAGGTAAGGACGTGATACCCAATGCTGAATGTTATTACATTGAAAATATGTTGGGGGAAAACAACAAGACTGAGACATTAATATGCAGACAATAAAATATTCCTTCAACAGACCAACTCATCAATTATTAAAAAAAATATTTTTTTGTAAATATGTTAACATGTTAGTTATTGAGTGGGGTACCCTGAAAATATAGAAAAAACTCTATAGTTAGTAGAACCATGCATGACCTACTCTCACTTTTTAGAAGAATGCCCTGCTTCACAAGGGCTTTACAGGTCCCTCACTGTGTTGAGGGGCCCACCTATATTAAAAAAAAAAATTATTGTGAGGCCCACCTTGTGTCTTTCCTGGTAGGGGACTGTGAACCAAGCCCCTGTATCTGTAGCATCACTCCACTTTTTATAACCATGTAGTTAGTATAACTTAATAACTAAATAATTTAAATAAAATAAATGTCATTTAAGGAAGAATAGTTAATTTAAAAGTTTTCAATGACACGAGTATTTGATTTTTTAATTTCCCCGATTAATGTCACCAATAACAAATTAAATCTTATAATTGATGTATTTAGTCCATGTCTGATTTAGATAAATGATGAGAACCATGAGAGTCTAGCAAGGATCCATTGATTTTGGAAGAAGGACCAATGATGAGATTGCGAGTAAAGCAGATCAAGGAAGTCATGGGATTACTTGTTCATGTTACATGGGCCGGAGTTCGAATGCAACGAGCAAAGCATCAAGTTTTAGGTTGGGCATGGAACAAGAACCAAGATTGGTGCATTTGATTCAAGCAAAGGAAGAAGATGAGATTCCAGCAAACTGTGCGGCTGTATAGGCTTAATATGCATGCGTTTTCATTCAACACTCAAAACCAACCCGAGAAAAAAAGAAGGCCTACCATGCTGTTGCATCTAAGTGTGCTATGAGGCCTCATAGTTAAAAAATGTGGACGCATTTTGCAGTTGTTTAATTTCGTCATAACTCTTTTGTTTTGATAACATTCAGATTATTTTCGATTTTTTAGGATTTTTATAAGTTCCCTATATATATGACTCATTCTTTTTATTGAATATTAACACATTTTTGAGAGATTAAATCACGCACAAGTTGCTTTCTTCTTGTTCTTCATTGAATTTATCAAGAATTTCATTTTTGTGGCGTTCAACATCTTCATTGTAAAGTTCATAATTTTTGGGATTAAGGGGTCAAGTCCTTTATAACTTTGGTTCCTTTATTCAATAAATTAATGGGTCCAGCTTCAAATCGGGATTTTAGCTCTCTTGGGGGTTATAATTCAATCTTTTGTAGGTTTTGTTGCTATTATTGTTACGTGAGTTCACATAAATAAAAGTCATATTTGTAGTAGATTTTAACAAAAGTTAAAGGAATATATTGTTGAAAAGTTGTAGGTTCCATAAAACATGTTCTTAAAATCAATTATTGATTTCGACTTAGATTCTAATCAACTCATTTAACTGACTTAGAGTTGACTCGTTCAAGAAGCACTCACACAATCCATATTATTTTATAAGTCTGTTTGGCAGGACTTTTACTTTTACTTCACTTAGAAGAATTTATTGATGAAACTATCTTAATTAGTGTTGGGAAACTAATTTGTAAAGGAGTTCTCTCTTCCATAACAGTCTTTAGAGGAGGCTACATTGGTTTAATTTTCTCTAAAAACTTTTCTAATTAAATAAAGTACTTTTAAAAAAAATTAATCAAACGAATTCAAAAATTTCTTTTGACATCTCAAATATCATGTTAAACAGGTCATATATCTCAACTTATTATGTTCAAATTGCATCACTCTTATAAAGCAACATTTTTACAATGTCACTCAAGCATGAAGGTAAGGGGTTACGATGAGCCACAGTCACCTCTTTGACCCAAAAATAATTTAAAAGGGAAAACCAAGAGGATTACATGCTTGATAAGATGTTAATTGTTGGTGACGGCTGGACTTATTTAACCAAATGGCCAATCAAATTCATTATAATTAGCTATAAAGTGTAGCTTCAAAGGGAGGGTAATCCAACGTGGTTATTCTGAATTTAGTCGGTAGGGACGTCTGAATAAATAATAAATTCAATTCAATTTTTATAGTTAGATCATATTATTAGATTATCAAGTCGTGCCTCGCTTCAACGAATCGTGTTAAGTTTGAAGTTCAACCTTTGTGCTTGGTTAACTTTGTTCAAATATTGTATTCTTCATTTTGAATTTCCACGTTGTCTCCACTATTCAACGTGACAACGTGACAATCAAGAGGAATTTAGCCACTGAAAAAAAAAATGAAAAAGATTAACTCTTTAACCTTTTCCTCACAAAATAATTTTCACACGGTCTTTCCTTTTCATCAACAACCCATTCTTAGTTGATGCATCATTAAGGTTCTGAAGAATGATTAGTGAATGTCAAAATTGAAGAATTATGGATAACTTTATGTTTGAGAAAAGTAAA